CCTGGGTCGGCCTCTCTTAGATTTGTTCATTTCATGATGATATCTATTTTTGGTGAAAAGTGATATTTTCGACTTCTTGTTAAAAACGGCAAGTCTGATTGCTTTGATGTTACATATATAGGTACTACATGTGGACCTCTGTCAGATTTGTTCATTTCGTGATGATATCTTCAATTGTCTAATTTTGATGAATATTTTTGGTAAAATGTTATAGTTTTGCGAATTCTTGTTGAGAACAGTAAGTCTGATTGCTTTGATACAGTGTACTATACATATTGTTTATTTTCTAATGATATCTTCAGTTAATATGCAATGATAACAGCGGAGCTATCTTAGCTGACAGGCTGCTTGTCATTGAATGGTGTTAATATGGGCTTTTTCATTGGGTGGTGTTACCATGGGCTTTTTCATTGGGTTGTGTTAATATGGGCTTTTTTAGCTCCGCTGTCGACTTTGTCCAGCGGAGCTTATCATATGAGTGATTGTCTGTCGTCGGCGCCCGTCGTTGTCCGTGTCAATGTTTTGCTTTTTCAACTTCTTTTGAAAACTACAAGCCTGAATGCTTTGATACTTAGTGTATATGTACATTGGGTAGACCTCTCTCAGATTTGTTCATTTCATGATGATATCTTCAATTCTCTAATTTTGGTGATTATTTTGTAATTTTTGGTAAAAAGTGATATTTTTGACTTCTTGTTAAAAACCGCAAGTCCAATTGCTTTTATTAGCTCCGCTGTCGACTTTGTCTAGCGGAGCTTAACATATGAGTGATTGTCTGTCGTCGTCCATCGTCCGTGTCAATGTTTTACTTTTTCGACTTCTTCTTGAAAACTACAAGCCTGAATGCTTTGATACTTGGTGTATATGTACCTTGGGTAGACCTCTCTTAGATTTGTTCATTTCATGATGATATCTTTAATTCTCTAATTTTGGTGAATATTTTTGTCATTTTTGGTAAAAAGTGATATTTTCGACTTCTTGTTGAAAACCGCAAGTCCAATTGCTTTGATATTACATATATAGGTACTACATGGGGACCTCTCTCAGATTTGTTCATTTTGTAATGATATCTTTAATTCTCTAGTTTTGGTGATTATTTTTGTCATTTTTGGTAAAAAGTGATATT